ACCAATTAAAGTTGTCGTGCCTTAAAGGAATCTTGCGCGGAAAAATCATGATTCTATTTCAGCCATAAATCACTGGCTTGAGACTCATTATCCACGATAATAGTGAAAAGAACTGAAGTATTGCTTTCGTTTTGATTAGAAATTCGAAAACTCGAAAAGGCTGCTACGCGTTCGAATTGCCCACGGACGTCTTTCACGAATGCTGGCGACGGGGATGCTCAAACTTGGTTCTTGGAGTGCATTCACTAGAAGCTCTTTCTGGCCTTCTGCTGCTCGTAGCCGACAATTCACATACCTTGGTACACTCTCCACTCTTCTATCCGTATTTCTCATCGATTCGCGACCTTTGTGGACTGCCACTCATCGATAATTCGCGTGATAATCGCCGGCTTTAACCCGATTCTCTCATTGCGTCGCCTGGTACGTAGCCGGCCAAACGCCGTCTTCTTTCCATGCCTCGCCTGGCTCTGCCTCCTGGTCCTTCGATGGTCCATAACGTGTAGTTTTTGTACGTTTGTTTCTCTTCAGAAACCGAATCTTCATGCGTGAAACTTTGTTTGTGTGCTATTTCCAGTGATCACAACTGACATATTCATGTTAGGAAAGAGTGCAAGAATTTTCCGCGCAAGATTCCTTTAACTCAAATTACGAAGTGCTCTGTATATGTCGTCAAAACCAACCTTTGGAAATTCTATGATATTTTCTTAAACCTTTTCTTGCTCAGGCTGAACGAGCTGGGAGAGCTCGAATTTACGACAGAGGGTGGCAAGTCATTCCAAAAGGTGATAATCCTCTGAGTGAATGAGCTTTGAAATTCAGTGGTATTGGATTTCTCTCTAAGGAGTCTGTAGTTCATAACAGTGAGAATACAGAACAATCTTATTATTACTACTGCATATTTACTTTTTCCATTCTTGTCATGTTGTTGGAATTCGCCGTTTTCTATTAGTTTTCCTTTTTAGAGGTTTTTGATATTTTTTGCTTCTTCCCAACCATCTGAGCTTACGGACATGCGTTTGCCTTATTATTCCTTTACCTTTCTTCTGTTTTTCTTGACCTCTCTCTATCAGTCCTCGTACCCTGGCACTCTTCTCATTTCTCGGTCATTTCTTTCAATTTTTCATGTCTTCCCAGAGAACATTTCCACCGCTCCGCGTATGGCCTATATATCATGGTACCACCTATTAAGCAGCGTTCTGTTTTGTTGTTTCCGTTTCCCACAAGGCGCCAGATCCAGGGGATTGTGGATAAAAACTGGTGTGCATTTAGCTACTAAACGGTTATAATGAAAAAAGTTCGTCAATCCGTTCGCAATGGCTTTGTTCACTTGGTGTTTACTTTCAATTTGAATACTTCGGCCGTCAAGCTATTTTTTATCGAAGGGTAGCTCCAAAATGCCTGTAAGTGGTGACGAAATCTTTTTGTATTCCCTTTTTTTTATCTTTCTTTCACCCTTTCAAACTCCAAAACTTTCTAATTTTTTTCAGTCTGTTTCGATACTACGTGTGATTAAACTATGGATATGTATATAAGGACTTACCTCCAATTTTTAAAAAGCTTCTTTTGTCGCTAGCATACTTTCCGTCTATATCGAATCTAAAGCCACAACCTCAAACACGAAGTTCTAATTTGGTAAGCATATGCCTGTTTGCGGTTGGAGACATCTTATGCGATACAAGAAGCAGCACATTCATCGTAGTTTATAATAGATGATCGCGTACCTGAGACGTAAAAATACAGTGTCAAAAGCGTTCGCCAAAAACGATTTCTTTTTTTGCCAGAAAAAATCAATGGTGACCTCGAAAATTTTTCTTTGAATATCCTGATTCTTTAAGACTTGAGGATATATAAAAACACTAGAAAACATAGTATATCAATCTTTGGAGGACGTTGCTCAAGCGAGAAAAAATAATGCACGGAAAATCGTTTCACTTTTGATCGCTACTGTACATGGTGGCGGAAGGGTTCTTCACCTGGTATGGGAAACTTTTCATACAACATGACTCAAGCGCTGATCTGTAAAAAAAACCCAGATTCACTGTAGCTTTTCATCGTTTTCATATTATCTTATATCAGAGATATTCAATCTATGGGAGTAGTTCATAGATTAATCACAGAGAACGCATCCATTTATGCCCTTTGGGACTCGAGAATCAATCGGAGAGCATTACTGAACTAATAGTCAGTGAAACTTGCCTGTCGTCACCCCACCTCCTTGCCTGTCCGATCCCCACTTTAATCCCAGGCTTGCATTTGGTAGCGGGGGCCGATTTCCATGGTTCCACCTCCGAAGACTTCTGAAGATTAATGAGTAGTAAGATATCTGCCATAATTTAATTACCTAATATTCTACACTGGTGTGCAAAACGAGACGAGACAGATAAAGTTACCTAACTTATTGATAGCTTCTGTGGACCTTTTGACGGTCCTGTCATTTGCTTTTTGTACTCTACTGGAGCAGTTCTTTCTATGTGTGGTTAGGTTCTATAGAGCTGTGTTAGGTGCAGTAACACGTCACGGAAAATTTAGGTTCGTCCTTAAGTTTTGCACACCAGTGTATGTAGGTTCTGGACGAGCAAACTGACTTCAGTAAAGGTACAGGCTTCTCTTTTCAGGAATGAGCGAAGTTGGCGATACAAAAATCTGTACATATATGTATTCTGTTTCTTGTTCTATTATTGCTGAAGTTTTAATGATATTTGGATATAGAAATAATGCATGGCTGGTATTGTATAATGATGACAGTGAACTTCAAGTGAGTTCACATTTTTCTAAATCCGTGTAAATTCCATAGAATAAGAACAATTGAAATTCAGCGTGGATTGAATGATGACTGCTTCAAAACTGACGTTATTCGATGTCATTCATGGCGGTCCTATTCAAATAGTTCTGTGATGTTTCCGGGACTATCCGCAGTCACGCCACCCAGCACTGGTAGGTTTTTTCTTAAAGATGAAATATCTTACGATGGAAAGCAACCCATTTCAAATTAAGTTCAGGATGGTGAGTGGTACAAGAAAGAAGGAAGAACCATGAGAAACGGCCCAGAACCCGAGAAATGGGACCCCTTCCTTGCCCGTTGATTTGCGCATTGATGCGACTCTCATCGCTGTGCCCTCTTCAACACTACGCTCTCTCTGCTATCTAATCACTCGCCACGTATAGACCTGCGGCGAGTGATTAGATAGTCGGTGGGCGTACCCGCCAACCGCGCCAAGAGTGAGCCATGCTAGATCGCCGAGGTCAAATCTTTCGCTGCCAATTGCGCGTCGGTCAGCACCCGGGGATGAGTGAGACGCGGACCTCAGGCATTTGAAGGTGAGGGGGGGTGGAATGAAGGGAGGGTGGAATGGCTGGACCTCCTTTAGCACACTGAACTCGTGAGCTATACTCTTAGGATCTTTGCCACACTTTTGTAGTCATAAATGTGGCACCACTTCTGCGGGTGCGAAGCAACTACCATCTCTACGCGAGATACTGTTAAAGTCAGTGTGGTCCTTTTATTGCCAATAGGGGGGGGGGGCAGAAGAGATTCTTCTGTAGTTTCTTGAGTTGGTCCGCAAAACCAAATAGCATAGTTTGTCTGTAAAATAAAATGTAAAGGATTATTATATGGTTTTGTTGAAAATCGAATCAACCCGGGCTGACTCAATTACTTTTGGTTTTCGTGAAGCATCACAATTCTGTGATTTTTTAGCAATGTACATAGCGCTGTATATCGCTCGAGCACTTCTTTTCATGCAATTTGCATGGCTTATACTATGTATTATTTGTTGTTGCAATGTTAAAGCTGAGCTTCTCGCCAAGAAATATCAACGATTTGTTCTGCACTACTGCGGTTTTGAAGGTAATTTTCATTTCTTTTTTGGGTTCATTTATTTTCTCGGATTTATTCTTTTCCTCTTAGCTATGCTACCGTATTCTTAAAATGCATTTCGTGACCATAAGGTTTACCTCTTTGCGTTGACCCCATAATAATAAATACATTCACAAAAATTAAAAAATACGAATTATTATATAAATTAGAAAATCTTTCCTATGAAATTTACAATTCTATTTATTACTTATATAACCAGAATTCTGGTCTTATATCTTTTGAAAAGGATTTTTAGGAATGGAACAAGCTAGCTTGAGCTTTTAGGGTAAAAAAGCTTCAATAAATGTCTAATGTGGAATAGAGTTCTATGAAGACTCAGGCACGGTATGGCTCTGCCATGAGTTGCGTGGCAATTTGGTGTTAGTAGTAGAACAATACGAAGCATCAGGCACTGCATCCCTCCCAAGAATGCGCCACGCACTTGTTTTCTATCCAGGAGAGCATCACTAGCTAAATGAGTCCGGAAGAATGAAAGGCTTGGCTGGACAGAACGAATTCACCCCAGGTTTTCAACCTGAGCTCATGCATCAGGAAACCCATTTATCAGTTCCCAAGTTGCAGATATGTAGACCATATTCGTTCTGCGAAGAGTGACATGTATATTAAAGGATACTTGAGAATTAATGTTAGAAGCATAAGCCTCGGCTCAAGTAGGCACCCAAACGCTTTTTCCTTCACCATGAAAGACGAAGGATGGTGCACGTTCCTCACAGGCAGAAAAAATCACAAAGCTACAAAAATCGAAAGCATTTTTGGCATACATGCGTTTGCTGTAGATGTAGAAACGCCTGCTCACGAATCGTTCACTAGCTCATCTGGACTTTTGGGAGTACAAGATTCACTTTCTAGGTGACCTTGCTATAGCTATTATTTTTCCAATTCGTATTAGGATTGTTCCGTTTTTGGCACAGTTCCTTCTTCCTACCGCGAACACTCCTCGTATCCTCGATTACTAAGTTTATTATAGTAATTGCTTGAACGGCACCGCAATCCAGAACAGGCCTCTCAACTTTCATCATCAAAGCTACGGCTAAAATTGGCGCTAGCCTTTGGCTCTGACTGTGCGTCATGTATGCCGAACCCATATGCAACACCAGAGCCCAGTATGTTATCAGAGTCGGCGCTATCGCAATATGCGGGGCATTCTTTCGGATAACCCCAGGAGAGAGCAGGAACTCCGGGAAAAATGCTATTGACTCACGCCCCTGGAGTCTCACCTCCTCTGTCTAAAGCTGAGCCCATTTATTTAAAAAAGGAAATGTCTTAGTTTTAAATGCATTGCCACCATGATGCCTCCGTATCTTGCGATAGCGGCTCAGAGTCTTTTGGTGAAAAAAGCGGTGATACGTACAACAGCTGCTCCAAAAAGGCGGTTGAGTTGGACGATTCAAATGCCACTTTTGTAGATGAAAGTC